AAATTTGGATATCGAGCTCGAAACTCGGCCTCTCTCTCCCAAGTGGCTTCGTCCTCGCCGTGGCGACTCCAACGTACTTTGACGAGCGGTATCTCTCTGGTTCTCAACCGTCGAACCTTTCGGTCCAGAATAGCTATCGGCTTCTCATCATAAGTCAGGTTCTGCCCGACTTCTAACCCGTCAAAGCTGACTATATGACTCGGGTCATACACGTACTTCCTCAACATAGAAACATGAAAAACATCGTGTACACCCGAGAGCTCGGGAGGCAACGCCAGACGGTAGGCTACTTCACCCACTCTTTCGAGAATATCAAACGACCCTATGAAACGAGGCTGTAATTTTCCTCTCTTCCCGAATCGAACTACGCCCTTCATCGGCGTGACTTTCAAGAACACCTTATCGTTCCCGTCAAACTCAATCTCTCTCCTACGCTTGTTGTCATAGACTTTTTTTCTACTCTGTGCCTCTTTCAGCTTCGCTCGGATCTCGGCGACCTTATGCACTGTGTCCTCGATCAACTCGGGACCGAGAATCTGTTTCTCGCCGACTTCATCCCAATAAAGAGGTGAGCGGCACTTGCGACCGTATAAATCTTCGAACGGTGCCATCTTGATCGACGAGTGATAGCTGTTGTTGTAGTCGAATTCTACCATTGGTAGCAATTTATTCCATGAACTACCTCGCTCAAGGACACAAGCTCGAAGCATGTCCTCGAGTGTCTGGATGGTCCGTTCCGTTTGTCTGTCGGTCTGCGGATGGTAGGTGGAACTGAACTTCAACTGCGTCCCCATGGACTTATTCAGACTTTCCCAAAATCGACTCGTAAAACGAGGATCTCGATCAGATACAATCGAGGCGGGTATGCCATGGAGTCGAACGATCCCACGGAGGTAAATCTCAGCTAACTTCTCAATAGACATGTCCATACTAACTGGCATAAAGTGGGCCGACTTGGTCAGAAGGTCCACTACAACCCATACAACGTCGTGCTTCTCGGATGACCTCGGTAGTCCTGTGACGAAGTCCATAGTCAATTTCTCCCACTTCCACTCAGGAATCTCTAAAGGCTGTAGAAATCCCGGTGGATACTTATGTTCAGCCTTTACTTGCTGGCAGATTAAACACTTGCTCACAAACTCGGCTACATCTTTCTTCATGCCCCTCCACCAAAACGACCTTTTCAAGTCGTGATACATCTTGGTGCTACCGGGGTGTGCCAAGTATGGTGCACTGTGCGCCTCGGTCAAGATCTCTTTCCTCAAGGCCTCGACGTTCGGCATAATAATTCTCCTTTTGTACTGTAAGGCACCATCCGTGCCTCGATCAAAACCCTCTACTCCGCCAGTATGAATCTTAGCCTCCAACGAGCGAATGAACTTGTCAGAGGTCTGTGCCCGCTGAATCTTATCTCGGAGTGTGGGCCACATTCTCAGTGAACTGATACTTCCCCTCGTCTCTGGTTGGGGAAGTGATTCGACCACTTCTATCTGCATCCGGGCCAACTTTCTTATCAACTGACGCTGCTGGGTGATCATGCATGTCAACTCACCCCTTGCCTTCCGGCTGAGGGTGTCGGCGACTACATTCGCCTTTCCCGGATGATAACTAATGGTGCAGTCATAGTCTTTCACCAGCTCTAACCATCGCCTTTGTCGCATGTTGAGCTCTTTCTGGGTGAAGATATACTGCAAACTTTTTTGGTCGGTAAAGATCTCACATCGACCGTCGTACAGATAATTCCTCCAAATCTTCAGGGCATGAACCACTGCCGCTAACTCAAGATCATGAGTCGGGTAGTTCTTCTCGTGCGGCTTTAGCTGTCGAGAAGCATAAGCCACAACCCTGCCTTCTTGCATCAGTACGCAGCACTATAAACAGTGAAACCTTGAGTGGGATCCGGTATAGTCAACACAGGCGCTGTCGTAAGCCTTGCTTTGAGCTCCTGGAAGCTCTCCTCACAACAATAATTCCATTCGAGCTTCACTGATTTCCTTGTCAGACGAGATTAGGGTAGGGCTATCTTGGAGAACCCCTCAATGAAACGCCTGTAATAGCCGGCTAATCCGAGGAAACTTCGAACCTCAGTGGCATTCTTCGGTGCTGACCAGTTCCAGACTGCCTCGATCTTTGATGGGTCAACTTCGATTCCTCTCGCCGTAACAATGTGGCCAAGAAAAGCCACTCGATCAATCCAGAATTCACATTTGGAGAACTTGGCATAAAGCTTCTTCCGTCTAAGAGTTTGCAACACGGTCCTCAGATGCTCTTCGTGTTGCTCCGCACGACGAGAATAGACCAAGATGTCATGAATGAAGACGATAACAAATTGGTCCAAGAAGGGATGAAAAACACGGTTCATGAGATCCATGAATACCGCTGGTGCATTACTCAAGCCGAATGGCATCACAACTGTTGGGACATATGAGGATCTCGATATGCACAAATCACGGACAAACAATCAACATAAACCTATGCGCAGCGGATCTAAAGGTTTGATGTAGAAAACTTACGGCTTAAAATTTATGTAGATCTGGCTGGCCCGAACAGATGACCGCAAATCAAATCTTCTCGGAATCGAACAAACTTGACCAATCCAGAAAGCTGACGTCACGGTGAAGTCAACAGCGTTGACCGATCGGAAAACGGAGCTTCCACGCGCTCTCACGCGCGCGAGTGAGCCTCAGCAGCTGCTACCTTCTGGCGGCGCGTGTGGGCGCGTGCGGCGGCGGCTGGCGGCGATCTCGACGGCGATCTCTTCGACTCGTCGTCCTGGTCGTCGTGGTATGGTCACTTGCTGGTTTTGGTCTCTGGTTTGGATGTATGATAGATCTAATTGGAATCCCGTATATACCTTAAGATCTTCTACTGTATTTGTTGGGTTCGCCTGTAACGTACGAGCTATACGCAGCGGAATTTAAAATTTTTCAAAACATGTATTTAACAATTAAATACATAACTCGTACATACATATGTCGAATAAACAGATCGTCATCTTTAAAAACATGTAATAATAATAAATTTTGATTTATTATAAGTAATTTCGAAAATTACCTTAATTCTTGAACTCCTTCAAAATCGATGATGATTGAGGAAATCAATTCCCGGTTTGATAACGTCAACTCCTTGATGCTACTCGCTTTAGGAATCCAAACGTCTTCCCTCTAATCGTATCCACCTTTTGAAGTCCGGTTCTGACAATAGTTCCTTCTCTAGTAGAAACTACTCGGTTTTTCAATATGTATAGAATATATATATTTATAAGGAAATTTTCAAGAACTCTTTCTTGATATATCA